AGGCTCGGGCATTCCTGGACCCCCAATAAACCTCTTTCCCCAAGAGCAAGCTTCAGAGATCTCTGCCTCCCTCCACCCACACCGTGCAGGAGTGTGGTCCCATCTCACAGTGCACTGTGACACCCCTGAGTGCATTATGTGGCACACCCTTTTAAAGAAGAAAAATGGGGTCCTGGTAAATGAAATTTAGCAAGTGGATAACAATACAGGAATTCCTTAAACTTCCTTGTTGTCTCATAACAAGTCACTCCTGCTGCTTCCTCTTTGGAGAGGAAGAGGAATGGCTGCTCCAGCAGCACATAATTGCCTGAATCCTGCACCCTGGCATCTGGGCTTCAGGGTGGCTCCAAGCCACCAATGCCACCAGGAGCCACCAGTGACAGGGATTCCAGCTGTGGTCTTTGGACCCAGAGCACCTGTCAATTATTTATCTCCACTTACTCCATGCCACACAGGGATTGGATTGTAAGGAATGCTCTAAAAACACCAAGTGCCTATGCTGTGTAGCCAAGCAACAGAAGCTGGTATGGCTCTTCCTGCTGAACCTTCTAAAGTAACATTTTAAATGAACACACAAGAAACTAATACTAATTAATAATAATATTCTGTAGAGACCTGTGGTAGATGCTGCAACAGTGCATTAGCAAGCTGTGCATAATTCAGCAATGCTGAATTCTTTCAGACATCATCTACAGAGAATTTTGCACAAGTATGGACTTGATCATTTGTCCCTTTGTGTGCATGTGTAAGTGTTCCTAGGGGCCTGCAGAACTGTTTCTGGAGGTCCTGTTCAAGAAAGGGAGCATCCATTCTGAGTCTTAGAAACCAAGCTGGGAAGATAGGATGGGTTTTCAGAAGGTTGTCCTCCTTGGAAACAGACACTAAATGTGGAGGCCTATGATGGGATTTTTGCTTTTTTTCCCTCTGTGCAGGCACTTTTTCAAAAAGAGTTGCAAAAAAGGGGCAGTTCTCAACAGAGCAAGTTATAAACCAGCATTTTTCAATGGTAGCTGAGGCACATGCATGGCAAAACATGCATTGGCACCTAACCAAGTGGTCTGGCAGTGTGGCCCAACGCCATGGAGCTAAAGCTACCTGCTGAGCTACTGCTTGAGTGAGGTGTCACACCTTTGTATTCTCTTCTCCTTGATGGCAAAGTTAAGCTAACGGGGAATGAATTTTATCTGTCTGCTGGAGATGTAAGGACATGTAAGTGGGACAATTAAGGATGACTCAACTGACAAGAATAAGCTGCTACATTAGCCTTTTCTATCTTGCCCTGCCTCTTATTTTCAGAGGGTTGTTAACCTGGTCACCCCCAGTAAGGCTAATTTGTGTGTGAATCAGAAGACCCTTGGCTTGGGTGCTCATAAAATAAAAAGATTACTTGCTAATGGGACTTCATGCACATTTGATATGCTACTATTTTGTCATTGCTGCCTTATCAGGAGAACCAGCAGGTGGGTTTGCAGGGCCTCTGAGCAGATTGCCACTTTTTGCTACCAGTCCTGGAAGTCTTGGAAGGCTTTGTGTTCTTCCTGGGAGAACTCCATATTGTTATAACTCAGTTGCAGCAATGAAGATGTATCTGTGCTCATTGCAAATACTTACAAAGTAGCACATAATTGTCCCTCTGCAAGCATCTCTCTCTAAACTATTGTTTAAAACTGCCAGCCACATCTTTGTTCTTTATTAAGACTAAGGCAGCAACACAAAGTCTGTAGGTATCAGGAGATAATCATTCCCCAAGGGCATTTGAAACACTTCACAACCAAAAGGTTGTGATTACTCCACAATTGCTACACTGCTTATTATTCCTTATTGCTTAATTATAGAATCAGAGTGTGTTTCTTGGATGCTGTCATCTGAATAAGATTCTCCACTTCTCATGCTCTGCTTCAATGTTATGTGGGCTGGAAATTTCTGTAGATGTACAGGATAGCAATAGGGCAAGCCAGTTCTGAAAGCTCTTCTGACCTTTTGGGAGACCAAAGCATTCATAAATGAGGCTGTGTATCTAGAACAGAAAAAAATATAATGGAATTCCTCTGAATTGAATGTCCTGTGTGTGTGGAACACAGAACCTTGGTGTTAACTGCACCATGTTGTACCCAGCTGACCTCATCTCATCCCCCTGATTCATTTGAGTCTCTTATGACTTGTTGCCTTGAAAGGAAATGTACTGTTGTGGCTTCACATTGGAAAATAAAAGTAGAAAGAGTAGTCTTTTCCAGGCTCACCGGGCCTAGAAATCTACCCTGAATAACTGATTTTGTAAAATCTTGGATTTTATGCTTCATTGGATCATGTAATCTGCTCTAAGGAAGGGGAAAGCCATTCAGTGTGTATTTTAGCCTTAGTCTTGATTTTTTGAGTGTATCCATTCACAGGAAGATGAGAAGATGGATGATAAAACTCAGGCGTCTAAATCATCACCTAAATTTCCAGGTGACACTCCTTCTGAACTTAATTCCTTCAACTTATTTTTGGAAGCTTGAATAAGAAATAGACCGGGTGAAACTCCCTTATTATCACAAGGTTAAGCATAAAGTTGGCTTAATGAGGTGCCTTTTATGTCAGCACTTGATTTTTAAATTCCCCTTTTCATTGCTGAAATCCAAACATTAACAGCATCTTCTGGCATGGCTCTCTGTGCTAGTGTGGGTCCTCTGTCATCTGCAAGAGGCTGCCTGCAGTCCCGCTAGCAAGCTCTTGTGCCATAAAAAGAATTTGTTCAGCAAATAAAAATGTGTTGTTTTCATTGTTAGAGGATGCTACTTAATTGGCTGTATGTTTGTCTAATAATCACATCTAAAGCTGATTATTCTTGTAATAGCCTTAAGATATTATTTAAAAATAAATATATAAATGCACAACTTTTGTACTAATACTAGTTTTTAATCTCTTCTTGTTTCTATGAAGTCTGAATGAGATTTTCAAAATTGAATAATAATTTGATCCGTTAATCTTTTGAAGCTAGTAATTTTATTTTCCCCTTTTTGCAGTCTCTGAGGCTCGCAAATGAATAGAGCTTCATTACTGGAGTCTGCATTTAATAACCATTATCCATTATCTTGTAATTAAGACTCCCTGTAACGAATCATGAGGACAATGCAAAAATACATAGTACATTTCTTTAATGAACTGGAAAATGTTCATCTTGTTCTATTTAGTAATGAGTTGCTGAATAGTCGTTAAATCCACTGGAGAATAGAACTAGATGGATTTTGAAGACTATCTTGAGTTTGTGGTTAATCTATTAGAATTAAAATTTCATCTTCTATTTTTATCAACAGCTGATTAGAAGTCATTCTGTTTGACCAAATTGATTAGAAGACCATATACAAGGGCAGCTGTTGTTTAATGAAAGTTTTTAATGAAACTGTACCATAGAGACTTGTAATTATAAGACTTATAAAAGCTTTGACTTACCTTATAGCAGAAAAAATGAGAAGTATTGCACTGAAGGACTTTAAGTGCTACATTTTCAAAGGGAAATAAAAAATATGATTTGGTGATGTTGAAGTTACACTTCCACTGCTCCTTGTTTTAATGTGACTATCAGATGTCCATAGTGCCTCTCTGGAAGGGAGCAGTGCTGAAATGTGCAAGTCAATTGTCTCTCCTGTGTGGTCCATTCCCTGCAGAGCCCTATCAACTATTAATTGCCTCTTTTGCACATTTTGCACTGTGGAGTTAGAACCCTTCTTGCAAATAGCTGTTTCTCTCCAGAATGGAAGTTGTCACAGGAGGGTGCAATTGAACCACCACTGGGCTGACACAGTGCCTAGTCAGGAAGCCTACAGGGATAACTGTGTGATCTTAGAAACCCCAAAGTTGGTGGTACCACTTGATTGTGTCTAAAAGCCAGGGAAACATGCCTGGCTTTGTGCTGCCCTGCCATCGGGCTGAGACCCAGCTGTGTGCACGTCAGCTGTGCCATCAGGAGGGCTCTCTCTGGATGTGCTGCAGCTCACAGAACATAGCCAAGGCAACTCCTTACTTGGAGCCAGTGCTCAAACTTCCCTTCCCTACTCCAGGGGATGTTGTAGAGGCATCATCATTCACATAAGAGACAAAATGGACCCCAAGCCAAATTTGAAGTGGAAGCAGATGCAGTTCCAATTGACTTAAGTGGATGATGCACTACTACATGATGTTTGAATTATCCCTCTTCTTCTTCCAATTACGTTTGATAATTAATGATCCCACAGTACACCTTTTCTAAGAAGTAGGTTCCTAGGGGTGAAGTGCATCCTAATGAAATTAAAGAAGTTTTGTCATTGTGTTCTGTCAATGCTGGATCATGCACTGCAAGGCACATTATTTTTTGTTAGTTTCTTTGCTTTTTGTTACACTGTGCTTCAGGATTTCTTTCAAACCAAGGTAGAACAGCAAGATACACAAGAATGTTACATAAGTATTAAGGCAGGCAGTGGAGAATATTATTCAGTAGTGAGAAAACAAAAAAAATAAGCCAAGGCTAACTCTTTTCTTTAAAGATCACAGATATTTTGACCTTGTTAGTGCATTAAATCAGTAACTTGCAATGTTGCAATTGTAAAATGCATAAAAGGGGAGTTTTCCCTTGGTTTATAGTGTTACACAGCTGGTTTAGTAAATACATATGAGATATTTTTCTCTTAAAAACAGCTGCAGGAGATAAAATAGCAGACTCTCAGATGTGAGACCAAGTAGATGTAAAGTTAAATTAAAAAAGCCTGATGCAAATAATTTCTAGTTTCAGAGATCCTGGTGGAAATAGTAAAATGTTGATTTATGTACACCACAGGGACATACGTGTAAAGGAATGCTTCAGATTTGCTGTGAAGCAGGAGGGCATCTTTGAGGCTGTGAACTTGTATGTGCAGTGGGACTCCTGCTCTAAAACTGCTATAAAACATTTTGTTTCCTTTCAGGTTCTGATTTTATAAAGACATCTACAGGAAAGGAGGTGGAAAATGCGACCTTTCCTGTTGGCATAGTCATGATGCGAGCCATTAAGGAGTTCTACTGGCAAACTGGCTATAAGGTAGTTCTCATTTCCTCTGTAAAAATTAACCAAACAGGGTCACTCAGAAAGAAATAAGGATGTGATAGGATTGACTTGCTAACACTAATTTTTTTTTTTTTTCTTTACTTTTGTGTTTTCTGCCTTGAAGAACTGTGTCTTCATTCCATAAATGATCATGCAATCAAAGAGTTCCCTGCTGCATATGGGTTTGAATTTTGTTTCACCATTTAGGTGGTCATGTCCATTAATAACAGGGCTGATAGTGGCTGACATGCTCCCAAAAACATCAGCAGAGCTATACAGCTGTAGAGCCATTGAATCTGTCCAATGTACACAAGTGTGTTTTCTGACTGTCCTGGCAACCCAAGGGATACATTTTGCTCTTTCCTCCCTTGCCAGAGAGGCTTTCCAAGGGGACAAGGAGGCAGATCCAGCTGTATCCCCTTGCTTGGTATGGAACGAAGGAGAGAGGGGACAGGGGTTGGAAGAACATTATATCCTGGTACTTAATGTTGATCCATCAGGTCACTGTCAGGTGAGGTCAGTGGAGTGAAGGGGAATGTACAGCAAAGCCAGTGATGAATGGTCTGTGCACTCATCCTTTTGCTGAAATATTGAGAAGGGAGGAGATTCCCAGGAGGGCTTAAGCAACTTCCTTTGTCCATGGGCAGGTAGGGGCTGCCAGTTGGATCTGCTATTGGTGTTCAGCAGTGGGTTTTGTTCTCACCTTCAGCACCAGGGCAGGAAGCTGTATCTCCAGCTAAGATCCTCTCCCCATTTCTGGCCACTCTTCCCTCATCTCCAGCTGCTCCTTCTGTCCCTTCTGCAGGTGGCCTTGCAAGGTACAATGTCAGCACATGGGATGAGCAGTGGGATGGGGGCTGAGAAGGTTTCAGGAGCTGTCGGAGCTTGAGCAACGTGTGACACCAGGTTGGAGGTGTGTCCATCCACTCTCTGTAGCCATCTAGATGAGGCCAGCATGGATCCCTGGGCTGTCCCCACTCCTTCTTTCCCTTCCTGCCTCTCTCTCTGCCACACAATAATTTGAGCAGCTCCAATAGTCTTGTTTCTGTGGGAGCACCCTTAGTGCCCCAGCGTGAGGCAGATCCCTGGGGTCAGCAACCCCCTGGGCACCAGTGCTGGGTGCCACAAGCTGCATCAGCACAGCTTTAGCTTTGTCCCCATAACTGGATATAAATGTTGAATTCACCTTTTGCTTTCAAAGGAGGCATTCATGGTATGAAATGTATTATTAGGAGTAAGAGCTTGTGTCCGTGTGCATGTGTGTGTCAGTGAATTAGATGTAAACTGACTGTATGTACTTTTATTAACTGAAGACAATATTATCAGTGACAAGAAATTTCTAAATGGTTTCTTTAACAAACTAATTTTGCTGCTGTAGGGATGCTTTCTAGCAAGGCGTTGCCTGGGAAAAACAGGTTAATACAGAAATTAAACTTCTTCAAGGAAAGGAACAAGTTGCAGAGTAACATTTATTGACTGATAAGCTGTGGTGGTGATATGAAAAGTGTGCAATATAATGGGAAATAATCTTTTCCTGTCATTATTGAAGGACATACATAAATTGGTTTTTCTGTTGGGAAAACCCCCAATCCAGAAAAACTTATTACTTTTAATAATGTAAGGTGAAGAGAAAATTCTTGAGGAGATGAACTTATTAAGCAAAATAATGAAATACTGTGAAACAGCAGGAAAGTGGTAGCTGGACTTTGTACTGCTCTTGAATTAAATTCCAACCCCCCTTCCTTTTTACGTTTTTATGGCAGTCAGATGTGCTGTTTGGAAAGCTGGCAAATGGAGGAGAAGACAGGCTTGTCTTTGTCAGCTTTTTTGCAAAGAAAAGAGCTTTCAGAATCTGCTAAAAGGGGAAGGAGTTCTGAATGATGGTTTTAATTCTCTTATTAACTCTGTTTCACTTGTTTTTGCCACAGATTATCTCAAAGAGATGTCATATTTCTAGGAAGAAATCTGAATTCAATTTTCATTAGAATTTCTCTTCCTGAGGGAAAGCACATTCCAACTGTTTTTGTTTATTATCTAGAAGACACCTTTCACGTTGCTGGGCTTAAAATTCTTTTTGGAAGTCTAATGTTAACAGATGTATGCATACACTCACACATCTATTTGTCCATCCACAAAAACACAGTTTTCGAGTTTTCGTGGTTTGGATTTATCAAGCTTTTCTTGCTTTTGTTCTTTTTAATCTTATTGGAAATATGCCATTATCACAATGCTCCAGCATGAGAGAAGGATTTATTCTGTGTTTGTTGGTCCTGAAATCACTATATAAAAAAGATTACTAAACACATTTAAAAACAGATATTTTCTGATTCCACTATTATGTCCATAAGGCACAAAAAAAATCCTCAGTGCAGTGAGGTTTCAGGAGCTTGAATACAAAAACAAAATGATAATTCTTGCAGAATGTAAAGGCAGAAGGAAACAAGAAGAATCAATGTGTTGTTCAAATTTACCTTTTTTTTATACAGGAAGAATTTTTCCTGATTCCCCTTGCTTTTCAAGAGTTTAGGTAGCTGCTACAGGCCAACATTTTGGCATTTTTGATGAGGGATTTGATAGCTGAGTGTCACAAGCTCTGTCTTGTGTTTAAATGGCACATAAGCAAAGGACTGGCATTAGGGTTGTATGCCAAGTGCACAGCAGGTCCATCATAGGATTCCAGACATGCTTTATCTCAAAGACAAGTTTTACTTGGTGTTTGTGCCTTTGCAGACGTGGCAGTTCACCTTCAGATGTGACACACATCCCACACCAAGGGACTGAAAGCACACCCAGCCTGTGGTGGGGAACAGAAGTTCTGCAGACCTTTCAATTTTTGATAAAGACAAACATAATTTAATTGCCATTTGAAAAAAAAAATAGTGAAAATTAAGCCTCTGGTAGATTTGAATGTACAGCCAAACCATGTGTAACTGTTCTGCACAGGCTTTTTGTAAAACACAGCCAGGACTGAGCCTGAGTCAGCCACCTTATATGCAGCATCTTTAAAGTTACATCACTTTAAAGGTTGTGCATTTGTTGTTGTATATTTGGAATTAGATTGGCAGTAGGTGATGATGCCATGGGCACTCTGTGATTATGCAGATACCCCAGTCCTGCCTAAATCCCTTGCATTAGAGACACACTGCTCCCATTAGACCTCAAGCCCAGCTCCTGAGGAAGTGCCCAGGGGTCAAAAGTATTGCTCCCTCAGGATGAAAATGTTACCTTTGGTAGTGATGGCTGAGGCTTGGTAGCTCCAAGTTCTAGTCCAGACCTTGTGCTGCTTGCAGCCAGATCTGTTGGGAAGGATGAAAGTTTGACAAGAAAGTTTCACAGATATATATGCTTGGCAGAAAGCTCCCTGAATGTAGAACCTGAGAATGGAATAGAGATGGAATCAAGTTTTGACATAGAAGAATAATAGATGTGTACATTGACAATTGCTGAGCCAGTCTTGCTGGACAACTAAGAAAATAAACATTAAGTCAAGTTGGAAAGAGATTTGAGGACTTAGACTGAAGGATAAGCTGACCACAAACAAAAAGATGTCTTTATGAAGCAGAAAGATACCACAGGCAAACAAGACATGTTGATGTGGCAAGTTGAAAGGAGGTCTAAGAACTATCCACTGCAAGAAATCTGAAAAACAACTTTAAGCTTAAACTGTAGCATACTAACTCATGTGATTGGATAGTATTAGGCATAATATGGTAATCATAGTAGTTATGATAGGCTATAGGTGAAAGTTAAGGTATAGATTGGTTCTTATGTATCAAAGACGCTCAGCAAAGAAAAGTATATAATGCATTGTAACCAAAATTAATGGGTCTTCAGCCTTGTCTGCATCTGGAGCTGACAGCTTTAGCCATGGCTCTGCCACCCATGACTCTGGACTGTTCTAACATCTTGGATACAATAAATTGGACTTTGAAGAGGTGCTTGAAGTCCTGCCTCTCTCTGGAGGCTCTTACTCAGGTCCTTACCAGGCAGAGCTGTTACATCACAGGCACTTTGAGACTGCAGCCGTGCCAGCATCGATTGCTCTTCTAGGGTTGCTGATGGATGAAAATGTGTATTGAACTTTTATTTATTTTCTTTTCTCTCTCTCTCCAAAGGTTGGATTTAAACCTGCAGGGGGCATTAGGACAGCCAAGGAAGCCATTACCTGGCTCATGCTGGTGAAGGAGGAGCTGGGAGTGGAGTGGCTGACGCCGGAACTCTTCCGCCTGGGTGCCAGCAGTTTACTGGGAGACATTGAGCAACAGGTTGGTTGTTGGCAGCTTAGAACTCATAAAGAACAAAAGCAATCTTTCTAAAAGTGCTGGCTTACTGCTTCTGCAGAAATTGAACGTCCCTCTAATTCATTATGAATGACAGATTTGCTTCCAGCTCAGTGATTATTTAAATTTGAGCTGTCATTACAGACATCGGGGGCTCTGATGCTGGGGCAGCTGACCATGGTCTAGGCCATGTTGGCAGTGTAAAATTTTACAAAATTTTGGCAGTTTGTGTGTGTACAGAGCCTTATCAAATGCATGGCAGTGTTCTTCTCTTCAATCCCAGCTGTGAATGAGCCTCACAGACCCTTCGTGTCACTGTGCCACAACTCCTCATGGTGTGTTTCCATCCTGTGGAGAAAGTCCCATCTCATCCTGTGTATGGGTGCTGCTGATAGAGAATTGTTCACATGTTGACTGTTTCCTGGGGAAGAAGTTCCTAGTGGGAAGAAAGATTCTGACCTATCTATCCATGATCTATATCAGTGGCACAGGCTATCAACCCCAAAGGATGCAGTGTAATTTGGAACATTGTAGTGTCATTGGAAATACCAAAATATGAAGCTTTTGGTCCTGACTTTCATGTTAATTAAGCCCAGGAGAGGAGGTGATATTACCTTTTACCAAGAAAAATATCTGAGGGTCATTATCCTGTTGCTGCTGCTAGGAAAACATGAGGTATAGCAGCCAGTCTTCTCCCTTTCCTTACTTATTTTCTTTTGAAATACTGACAAGGTTTAGGAAATATTCTAAGAACAGTTTAAAGATGTCAGGTTAATATTCATGACTGCTGAAACCCCTGGCTCACTCCTGCAATGACAATAATATTGTCTTGCTCCTTCTGCCTCATACTTGACCTAAAATTATGTCCCTGGTTATGACAGAGCAGTATGAGCTTTCTCTTTGCCACTGCCATCACTGCTGGGTGTTAGAACACAGCCAGTGATTGTGTTGCACCATTTATTCTGATTTCTTAAGGGTTTTATCTTTTATCTGGCAGGAATTGCACAAATGCCCCAGCCATGATCAAAGTTCTTGCTGTCTAAAGACATGGAAAATAAAATGTCCCAGTCAATATATTCAACAAAACAAACATACTGAAATAGTCAAAACCTGATGCCAGAGGAAAACATTGGCTTCTACCTGGGTCTTTTTGAAATCTTAGTTAAGAGCAGCAAGGGTCTTTGCTTTTTACTTTTTATTTCCAAACACAGCAGCAAGAATCCTCAGTTCATAGTCTACAAACAAAAATATATTAAGGGATATTACATCATATTTTATGCACACACACAAACAAATATCTATCATCCTCATCTGGTATGCCTTTAATTTGTTACTTCCTTGACACTTGCAGCTTTATAGTCATATATAATTCCATCATAAATTTTCTTTTTTTTTTCCTTGCAGATTTTCTATCATGTGACTGGCTCTTATGCACTTCAGCATGAACTGGCAATGGCTTAGACACAAAACCAACTCAGGATTACTTTTACAAAAGAGGTCTTTAAGCAAACAGCATTCAGAAGTATTCTGACAACCAAGTGCATATGATAGAATTAAAGGCCTAATTCTCTCTTCTTCATAGTTCATGGTATTTAAAAATATGCTCAAGTCTGCTGGTTGTACTTGATCCAAAAGCAGAAAAAAGTGGCATTTCTGAAATAGTTAAATAGTTAATACATACAGATTTGCAAAGTTAATCTTGCAAAGTTCCTCAGACCAGCCTGAAAAGCTTATTAATGGCAACACTGAAATACTAGGAAAAATATTTAGGTGGCCTGGTAACATTTTGCAGTCTCAGAATATGAAATATCTATGGAATGCTTCAGATTGCTAATTAAGAGCTACTGATCTTGGAATAGATTTCCATTCACATCAGACAAAATCTTTTGGCACAGATGTGTTGCACTATAAATTCTTCTGTTGATTCAGTCTCAGGCATTGTAACGGAAAAGAAGAATGAAATTTGGCTATTACTTCTCTTTTATCAAATGTCTTCTGTTGGAAAAAAAAAAAGCCAACCAGACCTCTTTTTTATTTTTTCTATTTTTCCCCCCAAACTTAGGCACAGACATCCATATTTAGACCCTTGAATAAAAGTGGCTTGATTTCTAGAACAGCTGAGTATCCACAGTTGCTCCTGAAGTTAATGGGAGCTCTGGGTGATCAGAACAACTGAAAATCAAGCAGTCTCTATATAGGTGCCTAACTATGTATTCAGGGGCCTATTTTTAGGCATTTCAGTCTTAAAATTTTAGTCTAACTTACTTAGAAGCTACAGTTCCTGTCTCCTGTCATTTTAAAACACATTCATGCAAATCTTTCCATTTTCATGTAGGGGGGTTGACTGTCAGTTTGCAGGTGTCACTGTTCAGCTGGCTGAACTTCAACTTTGCCATTCCAAAAGAAATACTTGAATTTAAAAGATAATCTGAATTGTGTCTTATATAGGGTTTATTGATTCAATGTAAAAAATTGTGCTTTTTTCAGAGCACATTAAGAACAATAGCCAAATCGCAACACCTTTTGAGTATCAGACTGGTGCTAGTAGATTCATTTTATCAGTACTGCATTCTGTTCACTAACCAGAGTTGTACTAAAAACTTAATTATCATCATGACTAGTCTCACTGACTTAAGTAGGTCTCATCATGAAAGTAAGAGGAGGAGGAGGATTTTGCTGTAAATCAAGCTACGAGGTGCATTTATTACAAAGAGATTTATTATAAAGATAATTACTGTTATTTATCTGGCTATACCACCTGAATCACTAGAGTGCTACAAAAAGCCTTGGAGAGACAGGAAAGCTGATTAGGGGAAAAACAAATAAAGGAAAACAATATATACAGAAAGCAAAATCCTATATGAAGTGCTCAGGATTAAAAATGGGCCCTAATTTCTCAGAAAATAGTTAATCCAAGGCTTTCAGTGTTTTTCTGCTTTAGATCTCAACACAGAAGGTGAGGCTGAGCTGTGACTCTGTTTTCCTGAAAATAGCCCATTTTTACCATGAGTTTTCCTTCTGATTTCATTGGCAGTTTTGCCAAGGAACAATTCAAGTGCCTGTCTGCATATGGAAGGGAAAATTCTGCTGCTGAGCTTTCAGAAATACAGAGCTATTATAAGAAGTCAGCTCCCACCAGGCTTTTTCCAGTCTGACTCTCTGCCCTGCCCTCCCAGCCACCAAATACTGGATTTTGCTGCTGCTCTAGAAATATTATTAAATGTAATAAATGTCCATACTTTCATAGTGGGAAATAATACCACTTGCAAACCACACTTCTTTGTTGTTGTCAGTTTTCTTTAGGACAATTAGGGTGATGATAAAAATTATTTTTTTGGTGATGCTTTAGTTTGTAGGTGGAGGATTCTGTGTGGTACCTTAAAATTAATGGAGGTTCAACTTTGCCACCTCACTGTGTGAGTCTCTGAGAACAGCCTCACTGTCTCCATGGGAGCTGTGCTGGTGAAAGAAGTTGCCATGAGAAATTCTGTCAACAGTTTTGGTGTGCACATGGGCTGCTGGGGGTGACTCCAGGGGTGACAGCTCTGTTTGCAGAGGGAGAGGTTCCTGGAGATTTGAGGATAGCCACTTCCCTTCTCCATGAACGTTCAACACACCTGTGAAATACTGTGCAACTCCAAGCCAACCAGTGTTTTCAGAGAAGCTGTGTTGGAATGTAGTAAATACATCTTTTCTGTTGAAACCTTTTTGTCAAAAAAGAAAAAAAAAAGTAGCAGAGACTATAAACACATCCAAATAAAGATGATTCTGGTTTGGGGGCTGTTCTTTTTCGAGGAATGAGCAGAAGGCTCAGTGTTTCAGAGCAATTGGTTGTCTTTGTTTAACTCCATGGTGATTCAAGTTGTGATCACATTGTCTGTGTCTGTGGGCCACCAACATGACCCAGAACCTTGTCTCTCACCCCTCCTTGCTGGTACCAGCCAACAATTATCCTGCTGGCAGCCCCGGGGGGGTGTGAGGGGTTGAACCTGGGCCAGGGATGCCATCAGGAGCAGCAAGGGACTGGGCTTATCCAAAGGGCCAGTCCAGGAGACTGCTGCCACCAGAGCAGGTATGGGATCCATCCTGGGATGAGGCAGGGCTGAGTGGGGCTGCTGGGAGGGCCAGAAGCATTCCTGGGCTTGTGCCAGCACTGAGCCTGTGGGAGAGCCAAGTGCAGGGATTCCCTTAATTTCTGAGCCGGATCTTCATTCCCATCCCCAAGGAGCTGGGAGCGCTCACAGTGTGGGCTCCTCAGCTTGCTGCCCTTCACCCTAACCCTTCCCTGCCCTCTTTTCCATCTGTCCCATCTTTTTTCTGCTGGCCACTTGCTGCTTTTCAGCTGTGGTCTTCAGCTGAAGTTTGTGGAGGCTGCAGGCAGCACGTGAGGACCTGAATTCCTGGGAAGTGTGGAGGGGGCGGCGCTCCATCGTTTCTGACTTTGGGAAAAGTTCAGATTTAGTTCTGTGCTTCAGGCCATTAGAAAAGGAACAGGCAATTATGCACTCATGTCTAAATATATTTCTGAGTGTGGCATATGTTTTGTGCAAGTCAGTCCTGTATATACTAATTTATTATTTTTGTAACACTTATTCATTTTGGATTTTAAATAGCTTCATTTTGTAGACCACATTACTTTGAAAATAAGAGAATAATTTCAAGAAGGAAGTAAAGTAGGAGCTGCAAGTCTGCATCAGCTTATTTACTAGAAGAGGGAATTGTGTGAGAGGGTAAGCTTTTTTCCTGGTTTGTAGGAAACAAAGATATTAAATAGTAATTATATGTGAAGTGCACATATCAGCTGGGGCAAGTAATACTTTGATATCTTTATTTCATCATATAAGTTCATTCTTTCATTTCCTTTGTGAAGCAGGGAACATACATTATATACCACAGCACATGCCACTGAGACAGAAAAAACTGATCTACTTTTAATTTTATTTTCTCAGTTGAAACTTTGGCTCCTTGCCTCTCTTGGGGAGAATAAAACCGAAAAACACTAACAACAACAGCAAGTCTTATTTAAATCTTGGTGAGCTTTTGCTGAAAGCACAACTGGATGACATGTATTGTGGGGCATAGGAGTAAAAGGAGCGTTCTGCTTTTATTTAGATGCAACCTGCCCAGGAGAGAAAGGAAAGTGTCCTTCTGGTCAGTCCTTATGTAACAGGGCAACCAGAGAGAAGAGTGTTCTTATTATGTAAAGACACCATTGGTAAAATTACTGATTGCCTATTACTATTAAAGTCACAGAAAGCCAGAACCATGCTAAATTAAGTGGTGGTAAGGCTTAGAAAGAAGCACCAAGAACATTTGCAGCCCTTGCACTCCCTAAAAGCAGGAGTAAGTGGGTGATGGGTGAAAATACAGCAAAGCTTTCTTGAGGCATAAAAGTTTCAGATCTCTGAGATCACAGGGAGTGTTTGAAAACACTGAATTGAGGAAGCATAAATTTAAAATTGCTTCTTTACATGAGATGAAAACAAAGGGCTTCTAAACAATGTTAACAAACTGAGGAAGCCATACTGGAAATGACTGCACTTGTTTTTTCAAGTCCTGCTTTCTGTGTGGAAGGAGAAGAGGAATCATAGATGTCACAGAATGAGTTGGGTTGGAAGGGACCACAGCTGGCCCATCGTCCCATCTCCAGCAGGGCCATCCCAGAGCACACAGCACAGGATTTTGTCCAGAGGGGTCTGGAGTATACTCAGTGAGGGAGACTCCACAGCTTCTCTAGGCAGTCTGTTCCATGCTTGGTCACTGCACAGGGAGGTTCTTCCTAATGGTCATGCAGAACTTTCAGAGCATCAGTTCCTGCCTGTTGCCTCTTGTCCTCTTGCTGGGCACCACCTGCTCCTTCCTCGGGCACTCTCCCCTCAGACATGGATAGACATTGACGAGGGCTCCTCTCAGTCACCTCTTCCTCAAGCTGAACAGGCCCTTTGCAGGCTCAGCTGCTGCAATACACCACAGTAACCAAACCCTAAGATGGATGATGATTTGCCCAGAAAGATGAGGGAGAAGCTCCATAACCTGATTTTTACATTTCATTAATAGCATGAGCTCTGCTTTTATTCAAAGTCTTAGAGGAGTTCTCACCTCTTTACTAGTTAACAAGACAAGCAAATGAGCAAAGCAGGGAGCCAGCTCCCTCCCTATGTCTGGGCCAAGGCTGTTTTGGTAATCCCATGGTTTAGGGGTCCCTGCCATTGTCACAACCTGTGGGCTGGTGGAGGAGCTGGGTGAGCTGCACCTCTGAGCCTGCCAGCTGCAGCAGCCAGCCCCTGCTCTCTCCCTGCCTGAGAGGCTGCTCTGCAAAGTGCTAAAACTGTCTGTAGTGATTCCTGGCCCACTGAGAGCTCTTCTTTTTTCCACCCTTTTTTCAGACCTGAGCAACCAGCTCCTTAGGAGGAGGTGAGGAATGCGTATGCTCCATGATTTAATTTAATTACACGTAAGATGATTAAGGATGTTATCTTCATTTCCAGGGGAAATGAAACATTCAGCCAGCATCATGTCAGAAGGCTGGCACGTCTCAGTGCTGGCTGCTTTTTGCTGCCTTCTGCAGAGTCTGGGGCTTTCTTCAAAGCACAGGCACCACAGCTGACCCAGAACGTGATTTCTTGGTGGAACTTCTTTAAAAGCATGAATTGAAACAGAGCAAAAGAACGACTATCGGGGCTCTGAACAAGAAGGGCTTTGTGTTCTACACAGCACATGTCTGTCCAATCCCAAAAAAACCTCATGAATGCCTCCACCCTGTGTGATAGCAGCTGTAACGAGGCCTCTGGGATGGCAGTGATGGGAAGATGTAGATAAAGGAGGAACAGAAGGGTATAAAGAAAAGTTGTGAGAAGCAAGGGAGGTCATTGCCACTGCTGTTACTGCTTTACTGAAGTGCAATCTTTTGTGATCTCTTTGGAACGGGAGGTAAATAATAAAACACAAGGGAGGGAAAAAATTAAAATAAATTCAGCTTGTGGATGCATGTTAAAACAGATGACAGATTAAAAATAACTGAAAAAGAAATTCTATGGTAGGGGAAAAACTGCTTTTTCCTTCAGCATTTTATATTCCACCTTCATTAGGTGAAAAGTGAAAGAGCTGCAAAGGAAAAGGACAACTTTTGTTGTTTGCCTCTGAATGTTTAAGAAAAGCCTAATGCAGGTGTGGAGGGGAGGCTCTGTGGTTCATGGTGCTGGAGCAATTCTCAGGCTGAAGCCCAGCTGAAGCTGCAAGGATGTTAAACAGATGCTGTGTGTGCCGAACCCGGCACTTGAAGCTTTAGACCTGCAGTGCTGCACATCCAAGTAGTTTCATCCTCTCCATCCTCCCTCCCTTAGTCCCTTCAGGGTTGACAAGTACTCTAATGTTGTAAAGAAATAAACCCTGCAATCTGGAAGGATCACATCATCCAGTAATGTCCCTCTAACTATAGATCCAGGCACCAGGGACTGACTTCAAGTTTCTTCAGCACTTTTAAATGGGTTATTTCAGTATTTGGTGACAGCAGAGTGGGGAGCATCTTCACGGGCACTAATTTTTTCCCCATATGGTAGCCCAAATCACACCTGTCCTTGGGGATAGGAAATACAAAATGCCTGTGCCAGTCTGTAAATCAGTGTCACCTCAGCTCTCTTCTGCTAAATGTGCTTCAGGATGGCCCCTAAAAACTCATGATCTGAAAAGCTGCTCTGCATCTGTTTAAAGCTCAAGGAGCTTTAAATAAATAAGACATATCGAGGGTGGACAGGAAGCCACTACATTTCTTGGAGAGCTGGCATGGCTTGTTCAGGTCAGCTAATGAAATGGGAGCAATCTTTGCATGGTTTCCTTCTTTATTTCTGAGTGTGGAATGCAAGTTTAAATGAGAAAGGTACAGCTCCGTGACTAATGCTTACAGGAAGAGTCAGAAATGACAGATATCTTTGGCTGCTGTTATAGTGTGGATGTCCAACATACTCAAACAACTTGATGGCATCCAGTGCAAGTATATTCCTACAGTGACTGAGAAAAATATCTTTACTTTTCTCTACCATTACCCTGAGCAAATTCCCACAACTCCTATTACTTTAAGACACTTAAGATGAGGAGGTGAGGAGGAGGCAGCTGAGGCAGAAGAGAAAGTTATCCCCAGCGGACTGAAGGCAAAGCTGTTTTGTAATTTCTGAAACGTTTCTTACACTTGCCCTGACAATGCCAGGTAAAATCCCAATGCACAGTCCCTCAGAAGCACTGCTGGTGAGCAGGAGGATCTTGGCATTGTGCTGGCTGA